AAATATATTAGCGGTTTCAATATATTATAAGTATTTAATTAGTCTTTTGAAAGAAAATTGTCATCAATATTTTTTTCTAATAAAAATGATTGTATAATGATAATAAAACCACACTTTGTAATAAATTATTATTATCAAATAATATAACTTATTTAAATTGTCTTAATTAACATTACAATATCATATGATCCAATGGTTATTGCAACAGAATGCCAAACATATACATTCGAATTAAAAAGTTAATTAAAATTTTATGATCTTTTTACTCGTATAATGATAATAATTCAACAAACAATTTGAGTGAACTTATCTTATTTATGCATTTGTGTTCTACTTTTTTTTAACGTAGTATAACCATGAAAAATAAATTAAATTATACCTTATTTCTCAAGATAATAAATACTATATTTGATTATTTATTTTTTATAAATATAAAAATAAATGAACACAAAAAAATAGATATTTATTTCAAAAATCAATGTTGGATTATTAAAATTACAAATATAGCTTAAAGTTGTATTTGAAATTTGAAATTGGAAAACATTCAAAACTTTTTTAATACTTCAACTAAAATTTTATCCTAAATTATGATTTTTATAAAATGGCTCCATTTTAACCATATATAGTATTTTGTTTTTAGAAAAAAACATATTCAAATAATCAAATGTTATTTGCAAAATTAATAACTCATCACAAATTCAACTTTATTTTTTTATTAAAAAAAATGGTTTTTTTTAATAGTATGTAGTATTCTTATTTGAGATATGATCTATGACATTATACGATTATTTATTTTGATATATTACTCTTTAAGTGCAACTTGATTGTATGCCTCAGGTTAATTACTCAAAGTAATTTTTAGAAAATGAGGAATGTCGGTCATATTTAAAAAGATACTTATAATATATAAATATATCTTTTAACTTGACTTCACTTAACATTTATACATTTATCTTCGAGTATGCATATGTTAACATTTAAATTTATATAAATTGAACAAGTAGACCCACGTGTTCTACGAGACTTAATTCACGTATGACGTCAAGTAGGACATACATGTCTACTTTTTCAATTCTATACAAATTCACGTGTCTACTATGTACAACCAAATTTGGAGGATATTGATGTATTGCTCCCTCCGTTTAAAAAAGAATAAACCAACTTCCTTTTTAGTCCGTTTAAAAAAGAATAATCCCTTTCCTTTTTTGTCAACACTTTAATTTCTCACGTGACATGTTTAAGACCACAAAATTAAAGGACATTTTGGTACATTTAACATACTCTAATTTAGAACCACAAGATTAAAAAATCTTCTTTCTTTTCTTAAACTCTGTTCCAAGTCAAACTAGATCATTATTTTTTAAACGGAGGGAGTATATATATATTTTTAAAAATATTTATTTATTATATAAATTTGACCAAACACGGCTTTAACGATATATTTTTTTAATAAAAACGAAAAACTATATTTTCACGACCGAACCACATTACGAAATGAAATGATATAAAGACCTCGAATTTAAATTTTGAATATGGAAAAATCTTTTTAAAAGTGATAAAAACATTCAAAAATAAATATGAATTCAAATTAATAACAATCTAATACGTATACAAAATCAAATGATAATTTTTATTCATTTAAAGTTGTCCGCATTATTCACTTAGAGTATACCTCAACTGAGGCTTGTATCTATTGAACACCTCTCCCACGTTAATTTTATACCACTTCAACACGTTTTGACTACGTGACATTTTGAGTGTGATTCATAACTAATAAGCGCGTGATTTCTTATATTTTTAAAAAATAAAGGGAAAATGCACAAGTACCCCCTCAACCTATGCCCGAAATCTCAGAGACACACTTATACTATACTAAGGTCCTATTACCCCCCTGAACTTATTTATAAGTAATTTTCTACCCCCTTTTAGCCTACGTGACACTAGTTTGAAAAAAAAGTCAACCATCGTTGGCCCCACAAGATAGTGCCACGTAGATCGAAAAGGGGTAAAATATTATTAATGAAATAAGTTCAGGGGCAATAGGACCTTAGTATAGTATAAGTGTGTCTCTGAGATTTCGGGCATAGGTTGAGGGGGTACTTGGGCATTATCTAAAAAATAAATGAATTTGTATGCTTCCTTATGTGCCTTACTCTGCCACCTTCCTTCTTCTGTGTGCTTGTTGCCATTACTCTCCACCTTACAAGCAAGCAATTGTCGCCGTCGCCGCCACAATCATCTACCAACAACGCCCTTCTTCTCTTTTTGCTTCTCCCTTCTTGTCTAGCTTATTTGGATACTGTCGGCTGGTGACGACGAGTTTGTCACTCATACAAGGCTACTTCTTGCTAAAGGAAGAAGAACAAGAACCTACAAATTCAACGACAATGAAAATGATAAAGTTCCACATAATCATTATTAACTATTTTCAAGCCCAACCCTTCTTCATCTTTAAAGCTTTCGGTTGCCATTGAAGTTTTTTTCAAATTAAATTACTCCCTAATTTATTCTTTTCTTTTTCAATTGGAGCATCAAAATACTAATATAAATGGATAAGCGATAAAAGATATATCATCCTTTTTCATCTTAACTAGATGAGCGTTGCTCGTGCTAAGCACGGGCCCAACGTTTAATATTTTAATATTTTATATATTTATTATCATTTTATTTTACGATACATGTTCACAAAATAAATGCACTGTTTATTAAGCAAATTGACAATATGAGGAAAGTGAACATCAAGAGCAGTTGAATGTTATTATAACGACCTGTTTAGTCGTTTTGAGCAACAGACTTCAATTCTGAAAAAACTGGCAGAAGCGACGGACCGTCATGGGCACGACGGACCGTCGCAGGGTCTCGTTTCAAAACACTTAGAAAATCTGAAATTGGGTACTGAAAATCGACTCTCTGAACTTCGTAACGGAATGGCAGGACGGACCGTCACAGGTGTAACGGATCGTCACAGACCCTTCAGAGAAATTGAGTCTCTGAAGTCTGTGACGGAGCAGCAGGACGGACCGTCGCAGGCGTGACGGGCCGTCACAGCTTGCGTAATCCAGTTGGAGTCGGATTTCTGGTTAAGTTTTAAAGGGGCGTTTTGGACTATTCCTGCTATAATTATATATTTCGTGGGTTTATATTAATAACTCAAATTCTTGGGGGTTAAAAGAGGTAACCCTAAGTTAATTAGTGGGTTATTATTGCCATTTTTTATTCTTAATTATATACTAATTAGGGTAAAAGAAAGAGGGTTTGAATAAGAAAATAGAAAGAACAAGAAGGGAGAGAGAGAAACGATCGAGAGAAGAGGAAAGCACCAAGCTTTGAGGATTAACTTGATTGATTTCAATTCTTCGGTGGAGGTAGGTTATGGTTTCTCTTACGATATTCGTAGTAAACTCTTAATAGTGAATGATATGTATTGATAGTATTGTAAATCCCTCTATATGCTTAATTGTATGCTTGCATGAATATGATTATGTAATTGTGAATAAACAAGCATGATGAAACTTTTGAATCCCAAATCTTGAAAGAAACCCTAATTCACTTGTTAATGATGATGCCTTGGTATAAAAGAAGGCTTGATAAATTATATAATGAGATTGATGATGCCTTGGTGAAAAAGAAGGCTTGATAAATTATATAATGAGATTGATGATGCCTTGGTGTAAAAGAAGGCTTGATGAATTAGGGGATCGGGTGCCACGTTCCGACACCAGGATAGTATATGGATCGGGTGCCACGTTCCTGTACCAGGATAGAATGAGGATCGGAGTGTCACGTTCCGACACCAGGATAGAATATGGATCGGGTGTCACGTTCCGGTACCAGGATAGTATATGAGGATCGGAGTGTCACGTTCCGACACAAGGATAGTATATGGATCGGGTGCCACGTTCCGGTACCAGGATAGAATGAGGATCGGAGTGTCACATTCCGACACCAGGATAGAATATGGATCGAGTGCCACGTTCCGGTACCAGGATAGTATATGAGGATCGGAGTGTCACGTTGCGACACCAGGATAGTATATGGATCGGGTGCCACGTTCCGGTACCAGGATAGAATGAGGATCGGAGTGTCACGTTCCGACACCAGGATAGTATATGAGGAGCGGAGTGTCACGTACCGACACGAGGGGAATAAAATATAATGAATCTTGAAAGATGATAATATATTGAATCTAATGAACATAATTCCCAAATGAGTATGGTATTGAGGCTTGAGTCCTCAAGTGTGAATTTGACGGTAGTTGTAATGATATAGTACTTGATGTTGTTACATGTTGAGTATCATAGTTGAGTTTATGATATGACTTGGTATATATTGTTTTCTATTTTGAGTTGGCCGATGATATCTACTCAGTACCCGTGTTCTGTACTGACCCCTACTTTTATGTTTTCTTCTTGTTTATTTGTGGAGTGCAGCAAACGTGCCGTCGTCTTCGACTCAACAGTAATTCAAGCCAGTCTTACTACATCGGAAATTCAGGGTGAGCTAATGCTTCTAGCTTGGACTGGATTTTCTTCTTCAAGTCTTGATGCCTTGAACTTCCGGCATGGACTAGCTTCTTATGTATTTTTAGTTTCTTAGAATACTCTTAGTTTAGTAATTTGATTATAGATGTTCTTGTGATGATGACTTCCAGATTTTGGGGAATGATAAGTTTTGAGTTATAGAAGTTGATTATTGATTTTTATTAATGAGTTTAAGTCTTCCGCATTACTTTATGTTGATATTATATTGAAATGTTAAGGTTTAGATTGGTTGGTTCGCTCACACAGGAGGGTAAGTGTGGGTGCCAGTCGCGGCCCGATTTTGGGTCGTGACAGTTAACAAATTATCAATTAACATTTAGGAGTTGCTGACATACTTTCAGCTGATGATGCTGTAGTTGGAAGCATTATAGGTATTTATAATGGACCTAAATTTAATGAGTTGCATATTAAACAAACAAAATTAATATTTCAATAAGAAAAATTAGTGATTCGAACACATTATAGCTGCCAAATTTGTTCATAATATATTTTCATGTGCATGTCATACTACTGAATGTCGAAGTGAGATACTTACATAGTTTAACATTTTCATATGTGGGAATACTAATTACATACATTTACATACTGTATAGAAAAACAGATGCATCTTTCATGCTTGGATCTTCTGGATCATCTTTGATAAAAAATCACCTGTTAGCACAGAATCGCATCACATAACTTTTACAACACAAAATGATAAAAAATGTGGCAACATTAAGCTTCAACTAAGCCTCATCTTTGAATTCCTATTTCACGATTGACATAAGACATTTTATATAATAACACCAATATGAACAAAAGTATGTTATTTTTTTTTAAAACTATGTCATAGATAGATCATTTAGCAAGGTAATGTCAACCAGAATAGCATAAACACTACATTTTGTCGTATTAGAATAGAATAGAGAATTAGTGGAAGAAAATAAGAAAGCCAAATGGAATGTAAAGCATCAATTACAAATGTATGAAATGAGATCTTAATTAAAGATTAATATTATCTTTATAGTAAAAGATTGCAAAAACAGTCAAGAAAACAAAGTGACAATATGACCAAACAAAGTGAACAAAGCTCAATAGTTGTAAAGATAACAACCCTCATACAAGATTAAGAAAATCTTAACAACAGAAGACCACACAAATTTAAAATTAAAGTATATGTTAAGAAGAGAGAAGTAAAATGAAGAGTTACTTAAAGGTTGGATGGAAATTAGAAAAACGAAGAGTTATTTAAAGGTTGGATGGAAATTTCTACATCATAATGTAGGAAGAATATTCAGCCACTTGGTAAAAAAATAATGGATAGGTAAAAAAAACAAGGAGGAGAAGTCTTTGCTAAAAGCCTAAAAAGTGAAAATAGTAGCCTACACTAATGATAAAAGCCTAAAATGCAGGAGCTACACCACTCCATTTGTTATTGTGCATAAAGCAATGTATATTTTCTTTAAGACACGTATCATGTTTACTGTTGTAGTACATCTTATGTAATTATTATTACCACTTCCCCTATTTTTTCTTTTTTATTTGAATTTTAAACATTAATCTAGAAAGAAAAAGAAATTACAAACACTTCTTGTACATGTACATCTCTATGTTTCATATTTTTCTTATTTATTATATAAATTATAATTATAAATTATTATTCATATTTTTTTTGTTAGAGATATTTGAGATTCAGACAAAATCAATGAACATATCAGAAATTAAAATTTTTTATTTTAAATTTAAATATTAATGTAGAAAGAAAATAAAATAAAAAAAAGGAGGAAAAGTTTTTGCTAAAAGCCAAAAAAATAAAAATTACACTACTGATAAAAGCCTAAAAAGCAGGAGCTACATTACACATCTCTATGTTTCATATTTTTTTATTTATTATATAAATTATAATTATAAATTATTATTCATATTTTTTTTTTGTTTGCGATATTTGTGATTCAGACAAAATCAATGAACATATCAGAAATTGAAAGTTTTTATTCTAAATTTAAATATTAATGTAGAAAGAAAATAAAAAAATAAAAAGGAGGGGCTACGTGTAATGTAGGAAGTGAAATTCCTAAGAAAAAAGAAAACAAAAAGTGAAAAGCAATTTACACCTGTCTTCTTTAATCATTATTAAACTCATAATGTGTCAAGTTAATCATATATTACTTTCGTTAATTTTTATTAGTTATTATTTAATTTGATACACAATTAAAAAATAATTATTAACGTATTTTACTATACTATTTCTATTGATGATGTTTAGTAGAGTATTAGGTCTTAAAATAATTTATCGAATAAGTATTTAATATTAAGAGTAAAATATATAAAAAAATAATTATTATAACCACTTCCCCTATCTTTTCTTTTGTTTATTTTAAATTTAAACATTAATCTACAAAGAAAAAGAAATTATAAACACTTCTTGTACATATATATCTCTATGTTTCATATTTTTATTTATTTATTATACTAATTATAATTATAAATTATTATTCATATTTTTTTTTGTTTGAGATATTTGTGATTCAGACAAAATCAATGAACATATCAGAAATTAAAAAAATTTATTTTAAATTTAAATATTAATGTAGAAAGAAAATAAAATTAAAAAAAGGAGGAAAAGTTTTGCTAAAAGTCAAAAAAATGAAAATTACACTACTGCTAAAAGCATAAAAAGCAGGAGCTACATCACTCCATTTGTTAGTGTATAAAACAATATATAATTTTTTTAAGACACGTATCATTTTTACTGTTGTAGTACATCTTATGTAATTATTATAACCACTTCCCCTATCTTTTCTTTTTTTATTTTAAATTTAAATATTAATCTAGAAAGAAAAAGAAATTATAAACACTTCTTGTACATATACATCTCTATGTTTCATTTTTTTTTATTATACTAATTATAATTATAAATTATTATTCATATTTTTTTGGTTAGAGATCTTTGAGATTCATACAAAATCAATGAGAAAAATGAAAAGTTATTTAAAGGTTGGATGGAAATTTCTACATAGAAGATATTTCATAATGTGTGATGAATATTCAGCCACTTGGTAAAAAAATAATGGATAGGTAGAAAATGGAGGAAAAGTCTTTGCTAAAAGCCTAAAAAGTAAAAATAGTAGCCTATACTACTGCTAAAAGTCTAAAAAGCAGAAGCTACATCACTAAAGCCTAAAATGCAGGAGCTACACCACTCCATATATATAATAATTATAATTATAAATTATTATTCATATTTTTTTAATGAGAGACTGAGGAATTTCAATTTTTCCAGACCTGGTGTAAAACTCCACGGGTGTCTCCATGTGATAAAGAACCCACCATTTTTCTGCCGGTTCCTACACCTACACATACACAATTCGTAAATCAAAACAATTCATGAGTAATAAATAAACATTAATCTAGAAAGAAAAAGAAATTGTAAACACTTCTTGTACATATACATAACTTTGTTTCATAATTTTTTAATTTATTATACTAATTATAATTATAAATTATTATTCATATTTTTTTTGGTTAGAGATTTTTGAGATTCAGACAAAATGAATGAACAAATAAGAAATTAAAAAATTTCATTTTAACTTTAAATATTAATTTAGAAAGGAAAACAATTATAAACACTTCTCGTACATATACATACATCTAACAGAAATAGTCAATTTTTGAGAGACTGAAGATGCAAGTTTAAATTAGAAGAAGAAACCGACCTAGTGTAGAACTCCACGGGTGTCTCCATGTGAAAAAGAACCCTAGAAAGAAAAAGAAATTGTAAACACTTCTTGTACATATACATATCTATGTTTCATAATTTTTTTAATTTATTATACTAATTATAATTATAAATTATTATTCATATTTTTTTTGGTTAAGAGATTTTTGAGATTCAGACAATGAATGAACAAATAAGAAATTAAAAATTTTTATTTTAAATTTAAATATTAATCTAGAAAGGAAAAAAATTATAAACACTTCTTGTACATATACATACATCTAACATAAATAGTCAATTTTTGAGAGACTAAAGATGCAAGTTTAAATTAAATTATTATTCATATTTTTTTTGGTTAGAGATTTTTGAGATTCAAATAATGAATGAACAAATAAGAAATTAAAAAATTTTATTTTAAATTTAAATATTAATCTAGAAAGGAAAAAAATTATAAACACTTCTTGTACATATACATACATCTAACAGAAATAGTCAATTTTTGAGAGACTAAAGATGCAAGTTTAAATTAGAAGAAAAAGAAACCGACCTGGTGTAGAACTCCACGGGTGTCTCCATGTGAAAAAGAACCCACCATTTTTCTGCTGGTTCCTACACCTACACATACACAATTCATAAATCAAAACAATTCATGAGTAATTAAAATGAAAAGAGGCTAATTATAAAAAATAAAAAAAACAATACAGTTACCATGAGAAACAAAGAAGAAAAGCATGACAAAAACAACAATGATGAAAATGGAACGCCCCATTGATCTACAAACATTTGCTATTGAAATTAAAAGTTGTCCATTTTTAATGTAAAATTACATACTTGCCCTTCTTGTTTTTGGAAATGAAATTTGTCCATTTTTTATTAATGTAAATTACTATTATGCCCTTGGTCGCCCATGTGATGGCTCTTCTATATAGTAGTAATATGTGAAATGCAGTTCATATGAAATTTATTATTGAATAAATGTCAAGAACGTCAAAGCTTTAACAGACGTGGGTGGAAACTGGAAAAAGGTACGGTGGTGGGGTAGAAAGAGAATGGTTTCGAGGGTGGGAGGGTGGGGCTACAAATACTTTTTTAAATAAAATAATATTTTTCTTATACTTTCACATTTTAATACATTTTAAAATAATTTAATGGGATCAAAATAACACATGTCATTATTTAATTTGTCAAACTGCCACATCATCCCGAATGTATTTCACTCATTTTATACTTTTAGTTGATTGTTAAAAAAATGCTCAATTGGTTCAAATTCTAAGGGATAGAAATGTTCAATAGGTACAAATCTGAATTCAAGTGTGTAAAGGATCGTTTGATTGGAAACAAGTCAATCTAGTATAAGTTATTTTGAGGTTAGCTATCCTGAGATAACTTATCCCACCACGTATATGGGATAACTTATCTTATCACTATGATATAAATGGTGGAATAAGTTATCCAAACATGACAATCAAACAAGATAATTTTTTATATCCCATCACTATTTACTTATTCCATCACTATTATTTTTAATTTCCCACACTAGACGAGTCTTAAGTGAATAATACAGACAACTTTAAGTATATCCAGATGATTTAAGCCTTCTTAAAATGTGTGGTCTTGAATGTATAGACTTTTGAAGTGAATGAAAAATTGGGGTCCACGTTTTAATTTTGCATTGATTTTTTTACTCCTCTCAATGTGTTGGTACACGTGTGACAATTGAAATCACAACTTAATGGTGGATACACTGAGAATTACATAACTTTTGACTAGTTATTTTGGAATGTCCAATACTATCAATTCACAATGTACACTTAAATTAAGCTCGAAATTTTAGTAGGGCTTCATATTTCTATATAATATAAATAAAAATCTTTCAAGCTTTCGATTGCACTTGACACCTTTTTCGAATTAATTACTCTATAATTTACTATTTTTTCTTCTTCAATAAGAGTGACAAAATACTAATTTAAATGGACAGGCGATAAGAACTATATTATCATTTTCATCTTATTATGTGAATTGCAGTTCGTATGAAATTTATTATTGAAAATTTTAAGGACGTCAAAGCTTCAAAAACGTGAGTGGAACTGGAAAGAGATAGGGTGGTAGGATACCATGGAAAGGTTTGAATGAAGGGACAATGAGGTTCTAATTTTTTTTAAAAATATTATAATAATGCAGATTTATCCATTACCCCCTCTGAACTTGAAACTTTTTATTCGGTGTGCACATAAATTTTATTTTGTTTGAATTACCACCCGGACTTGTTTATTCATCCAACGCGTGTACCTTTTCTGTCCACCTGACGTAGAAATTGAAATCACGCTCCACTAGACGCGTGAGAGAGTGATTTTTTGCCACGACATAAAGCTACAATGGTTAAAAAACGCAAAAATCTCCATTTTTTAAAAAAAATATTGACAAAAATAGTCATTACCCATATGTTTTTTTCCTCACTTTTCTCTAACGCAGTTGCTAATTACTCAACATTGGATATAAAAGGAGTATCTTGAAGAACCCAATCTATTAAAGAATCGTAAATTACAATTACTCTTCTGTAACTTTTTGATAGTTTTTGTAAAAGAGAAGTAATCGGAGCATCAATTGGGAAGGAATTTGGAGGAGAAGTTTCGTAATTTGAGATTGTGTATCCATGGAATTTGACGGTGGAGGTGGAGAATGAATTCCAGACATGGATGCGATTTTTTGCTTGACGAAGGTGGGCGGTGGTTCCGGCAAAGTGGAGAGGGAGGTGATGGGCGGAGATGAGGAGGAGTTGTTGGAATATGATCTTTTTTTTTTCTATTTCAATTTATCTAGGTGACTATTATTTATCCAAGTGGAAATCCACATCATCACCACTTTTGCCACGTGACGCGTGTGTGTAGTCACAATAGGAGTAGTGGTCGAAAAAGATGTATGCGATGGTGGAATAAACAAATTTGAGGGGGTAATTAAAACAAAATATAGTTTAGGTGTATATCGAATAAAAGACTTCAAGTTCAGGGGGGTAACGAACTATAATAATTTCCTTTTAATTTCACATTTTAAAATAATTTAATAGATTCAAATAACACATGACATTATTTAATTTGTCAAACTGCAACGATGTATTTCACTCGTTTTATATTTATAACTGATTATTAAAAAAATGTTCAAATGATTCAAATTTTAAGGATAAAAGTTTTTAATAGGTATCAATCTAAATTTAAGTATTCAAGTGAATTATACGGATAACTTTAAATGTCGATAGATGACTTTAGGTCTTTTTAAAATATGTTATCGGAATGCATAGACTTTTGAAGTGAATTAAAAAGATGGAGTGCACGTTTTAACTTTGCATTGATTTCTTTTACTCCTCCCAATGTGTTGATACGGACAAGAGTCCACAACTTAATAGTGGATACATTGACAATTACACAACTTTTGGCTGTTTCTTTTTTGATGTTCAATACTCTCAATGCACAATATACACCTAAATTAAGCTTGAAATTTTAGTAAATTCATGAAACTGCCCTTGGTCGTCCAGGGCTTTGCATTTCGAAACACTGGGCAAAGTCGTCATTTTCAGCAGAGGAGAATCGGAGATCTTTTCAAGTTTCAGTCCTTTAGGGGCAAGCCTGTCATTTTCTCAAAAGGATATTCAAAAGGGTGAATTCGTAATCTCGTTTTGCCTTTGTTCCCTGAGCTGCCGCGTGTTTTTGCGCTCCCATCTATCTACAGCGACGTACGTGTTGATTCTGCGTTTCTTTTACGTTAATGGGAACGGAAAGGGGGCTCTGTTAATTTCCAAGGAAAAAACAACATATTCATTTTGTGCTCAAATCAACGATTTACGAACAAACAAAAAGGTATGCTTTCTGTCTTTGCATTGCTTGTTTGCTGTCTTGAGCTTTCTCCTCTGTGTTTCTGTTGGTTGTTTGCTGTATTGGGTTCTCTCTGTTGAGTTTTGTCGTTCTAATGCATCTTTTTGTTTATTTCTTCGATTTATGCTTCCTTTAATGTCTTTGCGTTGCTTGTTTGCTGTCTTGAGCTTTCTCCTTTGTGTTTTTGTTGATTGTCTGCTGTATTGGGTTCTCTCTGTTGAGTTTTGTCGTTCTAGTGCATCTTTCTGTCTTTATTTCTTCGATTTATGCTTCCTTCAATGTTCTATTTGTTACTTAAATTGTTGCTTTCTGTGCTTTGTTCAATGTTCCATTTGTTATATTTAAATTGTTGCTCTCTGTTTTAAACCTAATGTTACTTCGATTTGGGGAAATTTGTTGCTGAAAGCATCCCAGGGTTATTGCTGCAATGGGTTTCACATTTTCCAAAAAAATATCCACTAATTGAATGAACGTAAAATAAAAGAGACAATTCCTTGACGGAGAGATACCTACTTCAGCTTCAAACTACATAGAAAGTACGTGTAATAATGAAAAGAGGTTCAGTATGGAGTGTGCCGGATTTTGCTCTTAGTAAGTTGTCATTGTAGGTGACATATCATTCCTAGATGAAAGCATCACTTATAGTTTATGAAATTTTCAAATTACAACAAATTATGACATTATAATAAGTTAGTTCTTTCCCATCTGCACAGAGCTATCCAAAAGAACATTGAAAGGCATTACTCTTTCTCTTATAATACACAGATGGTGATAGTTCATCTAGGAAAAGAAAAAGAGAACAAGTCGCGGATCAAACTCGCTGAAAATAGTTCAGGTAGGAAAAGAAAAGAGAACAGCCAACTGTTCACACGTGTGATACTCGCAAAAGAGTTATTAAGAATGATACATAGCTGGTGATAGTACTTAACTTGCGAGCAAAGAACAGACATTTCTGAGTATGATTATATTCGTGTTGTTGTTGTTCTTATTTTTATTATTCTTTTGTTGTCTCTTAGAAAGAACAGGAACATATTTCAGGAAGTGCCTTGTGATGAAGTGTCTTTATGTTACCAAATAGACAACAACAAAACAAAAAAAGTTCTTTGTTATTTTGTGTGAAGAATCTTCTGGCGCTTCAACTTTTGTTACAGCTAACATTGTTTCATCTGATATTGGCAAGCTAAGGATAACTTTTGGGTTAAACTGGAGCAATCTTTGCTGCCCTGATTACTGGCTGTCACTCTTAGTGGTCTTTTAGGGGTAGATGTGCCAAATTCTACCAAGACATTATTGAAAATAATGAAAAAGTAACACCCATAAGATATACTAACAACAGTATCATATAGTGCAAAAAATTAAGGAAAAAACATAGAAAAATGAATCAGCTCGTACCTGTAAGAGCAAAACCATAAACCATACTAGAGGAAAGAAGAAGCGGGAGAAGTAGAGGTTTGATTTTGGCTATGGGAGTATCTGTAGAGGCTTTACTTATACTCTAAGTCTAGGCATTAATTGACATGTCTAACCCTATCCAAAAGAACATAAAAAAACCATTACTGTTTCCCTTATAATATGTAGATACTGATAGTTCAGGTTGGACAAGCAAAGGAGAACAAATTGTTCAAGCGTGAAACAAATTGTACACGGATGCGTTTGAGCTTTCTCTGTTTCTTCATGAAGGCAATTTTCTAAATGAGCACAGTTCATCTGCAGACCAACAATGGAAAAAGATAGAGAAGAAGTCATAAAATAAATTAGCATATCATGAGAACTTTATGAAAAAAAATTAAGTGTAAACACAGTGAATATTATTGAATATCCATCCCTCTGTTTTTCTTCAAACATGAATTTGGGACTCTCTTCTCTCGTAAATAGGATATGCTATTTTGGATGGCTATTGTATATTGTGTGGAGTTTTGTGTAACTTCTCAATGTAAGTGAGAAA